CTACCCTTGGGAGGGACACGGGAGCCCGTCTGGGGCGTCGCGGTGCGACCGCCCGGCAGTCCCGGGGGAGCCCCGCTTAAACTGTTCCCCTGGGAAGGCTCCTGAGGCGGGAGCGGTCGGCCCGAGCCAGCGCCTGGACCATCTGGTCTGGGCAGCACCGGGATCGCGATGCCGCCGGGGACCTGCCGGCGGGTCGAGGGTCTGCGGGACCGGGCAGCGCCAGTCCGTGCGGTGCCAGTGCCTTAGCGACTCCCGATTAACTAACACGGAAGCTCTGGGAAACTTGCCAGAAAGAGATAAGAAAATATAAAAAAAAAAAAAAATCCGACACAAACCCACCCTATTCAGGCCGTCGGGCATAAAGCGAGGTTGGCAGAAAGGCAGCCGAATAAAACCCGAAAGTAACAGATTTTACCAGGTCAAGATCAAGGAGATCATAGGAACAGGATAACAACTGATTAAGCACGATAAAGAGTTCGTGCACCGGTTTACAAAACCCGCTATTATGTTGATCTGCCATTGCGTGTGCCTTCCTTGCCCTTGCGTGACTGGGGAAGGCAGACCCCTTGGGCAGCCGGCGGGTGCACTGCCCTGGCACCAGCACTTCCAGGGGGAAAACTCTGCTAGGGGACGTGGTTTAATAGAAGGCGCCACGAGACTGGCTTTTTTTTTTTTTTTTTCATCACCTGCATAATTTGTGGGCTTGTGCAAACATTATCTACTCAGTCGCTTCATGAAAAACAGGCAAATGTTTGACTTCAAGCTAAGGGTGTGATGCCCAGTGTTCACATAACTTTTGGGTTTCTCCCCATTTCTTATGTTTGCCCAGCATTTAACATGCAGATCTGCTGCAGGAGGAAAAGGCAAGGATGGAGAAGCCAAACTTGTATACTTAAAGCAAATAAAGGCTCCTGGGAGGAGTGCATGCTTTTAGACAAGCAGAAGATGGATTAACATTTTGATCTTGTTTGGTCACTGTGTAGTCTTCCAAACTGTCCAGATTTCAAGACAGTCTTCTTAAAATATATTATAACGAAAATATATTTTGATATTAATTAGAAAAAAGTGTACTCAAACTTAAAGTGGGATGTTCATAAAGCCATTCTGACAATTTAACAATTGGGATTTTTTTTTTTCAGTTTAAAAACCCACAGGCTATCATATGTATGCAATATGTCTAGTAATATCAAACTCCATGTTAACTTTTAAAAGTCACATAAAGAGCTGGAAAACAAAACTCTCATACCCATGGAAAACACAATACTTAGAAGACACGGGTAATTTTAGTTTTAGAATGAATTTTCAAAATTGGATCAGAATATTCAGTTTAAGCACACTTTAGGTTAGGTTCACTTTTTATGTTGAGAATCAGTTACGTGTGATATTAAAGTGAAAACTGAGCAAATCTGAAATTACACCACTGGATGGGAAGTTTGGATTTTTCTCTCAAAGTTTTCCATTGAGGTCTGCATGTTCCTGTAATATATTTAAACTTCGTTCAAACTTCATTATTTAGGGCAGGGGTTAAGTTCTGCGAAAAATGTTTACAGTGAGAATTATTTGTAAGAAAATCCTTTGAACGTGTTATGTACATAGACACATCTTGCTTTAAATGACAGGTATCCGAAAGTGCAGGCTAAAATGCAAGAAGAAGTGGATAGGATTGTCGGAAGAGACCGTCTGCCATGTGTTGAAGATCAGCCTCACTTGCCCTACATCATGGCTTTCTTGTACGAATCCATGCGTTTCAGCAGTTTTGTGCCTGTTACTATCCCACATGCCACCACAACCAACACCTTCATAATGGGCTACCTCATTCCCAAGGACACTGTCATTTTTGTAAATCAGTGGTCAGTGAATCATGATCCAGCAAAATGGTCCAACCCTGAGGATTTTGATCCAACAAGATTCCTGGATGAGAATGGATTCATCAATAAAGATCTTACTAGTAGTGTGATGATTTTCTCGTTAGGAAAACGTCGGTGTATTGGAGAGGAGTTATCCAAGGTGCAGCTCTTTCTCTTTACCTCTATACTGGTGCATCAGTGCAATTTTACTGCTAATCCAAATGAGGACCCTAAAATGGACTTTACCTATGGGCTGACCATTAAACCTAAGCCATTTACCTTGAATGTTACACTAAGAGATACTATGGATTTGCTTGATCAGGCTGTCCAAAGACTGCAAGCAGAGAAAGTAGCCAATGAAAATCAGCTGTCAGCAAATGCCTAAACAATAAACCTTGCATCTGCAGATAATCTCTCTTTCTCTTTTTAGACTTATATGACTTACAGTTTGTTCTGGTGATCTTTTTGGAACATAGCCAATATTAGAAGTTGTAAGAGCAGGAAGGAAAGCTGCACAACGTATAATTCAGTCCTCTTTTTAGTTCTAGAAGGAGAGCCAGGGGAACAATTTAATATATTAAATAATAAAACATATGCAATTTGAAAGTAAACCTTTTCTCTTCTAGCTTGTTCACAGAAGTTGCCATTGTAAAGTGCTTTTTATCTACTGACTGGTTGGAGCACCTCCAGGAACTCTCTCTACAATCCTTGCTATGTCTCCATGTGCTATGCCTTAACTCTAGGTTTGCCTTCAGTGACTCCCATCCCAAAGTGAAATTTCTTATTAAAAAAAGGGTTGTTTAGAACACTGCAGCCTGCCTCTGAATTCCCTCTACTGGAAACTGCCATGCTCCTGTGTTGTGACTGCTGGGATGTCCATTAATGCCTCAATAATAAGTGTTCAAGTGATTTTCGGTAAAATGACAATGTAAAGTCTAGCCTTCAGCATTCCAAAGTGTTTACTTAAATGACTAAAAAAATAAAAGCCTTCCTTATAAGCACAGTTGAAAATAAAATTTATGTTTTATATGAACATGAACAGAATGTCCTACTACAGTAACTTTTCATTAAGTTTTGAAAGATCAGAATTTCTATGCCACTGAATGGCAAGTGAGATACAAATCATATGCTAATATGTTCATTAGCATGTTCATGAACAAAATAGATATTTGAATTAGATTGATAAAGGTATAGTTGAACTTTTTATTTATCTAGGAAAGAGTATCACATAATAAGCACATAAGTAAGTCCAGCAAAAACCACATCGGCCAAGGTATTTAGAGGTGAGAATATGGGGGGTTTATATTCAAACATTCATACCACAAGTCTCAAGTAAAGCATACAGCAAATAAAACCCGTGTTCACTAGTCATTCTAGTAGGTTTAGTTAAATGGTATATCTGAAAATTAACTGTGTACTTTTAGTACACTTTGCTTGGAACAAAGTCTCAGAAGGAAATGTAGCATTACATGTCCTAATTAATGTACCCATTAACTGAAGAAAGAGTACTTTTAAAATATTAGTGAGGCAAAGTTCATAAAATTTTAAAAAACCACCTAAGCTATTATTTGAAAATAAAAAACGTGTGAAACTTTATAGCCTTAAACCTCTGGCTAATATTTGTATACACAAAGCTGCACATATTTCTCTAAAAAGCAAACAATCCAATGTATATGCCTGATTTGAAAAGTGTTGGGCAGGCATTGCAAATCACCTTCAATTACATATGAAATCAATCTGAAATGAGAGTACCTCACGTGACTTGCTATGTTCAGCTGAGTACTAAATAAGGTATTAGTAGAGCTAGAAAAATAAGGGTACAATGCTACACAGTAAAGTAGCTCTGCTAAGCAAGTAAGGATTTGCACTGTGTCTTTTAATAGATGGCCAGTCTTAGTCACGTTGGCAGCAGTGACTGAACTCATACTAACATTGGGAAGAGCTAGGTTAATGACACAATCAAGATCTTAGCTTCACTACTGATTTTAAAAACCTGAATCAAGCCTAAAAGTACTGCTCTGTAACCCCACAGAGTAATGTCCCTGCTTAAAGTCTCTGACTTCATATGGCATCTATCATCTTTTTTTTTTTTAGTTAAAAAAAGCTTTCTGCTACATACACAAGGAGTAACCTCAGGTGTTTTTCTAAATTATGTACAAGTTTATGATATCCCAGAACTTAGCCTATACCTGTGAAAAGCTTTATAAGATACTTAGGATTTTCCTATGGAGATCTACATTAGATCAAATGCTAGCAAGACAATTTCTCTTGTACCTTTGTAAGTATTGATATTAAAAAAAAAAAAGGATGTAACCTACAAATGAATAGTTATTCTAATGCAAGGATCACAAATTCATATTTTAGTAAAAACAGCTTTTACAATTTGATACTCTTCCAAAAGCTTTAACTTTGCATTGGCTACTAATGCAACATCCATACACACTGCTCATGTCAGTCAGGGGGTTACGCACTATATAGCTGTTGGTCAAATAAATGCCTTTTGTAATCTGTGAAGATACTCAAATTTAGTAGCACCTATTTAGAATGTATGCAGTTTAGTGAGCTAACTTCTATGGTCATTCTGAGATGTATCATTGTGTTACCAAAATACTAAATAAAATTATTCTTACACTACCATTGCTTAGTTTATGTATGGCTTTCTAACATCAAATTAAACAAAATTTTTATTTCTGATTTGGAAAGTATTATTATTTTAGGTATTTGTTGATATACTTAGCACCCTCTTCCCATTTCTGGATTTTAAGGTTTTTCTCCATGCTGCCCTTACAGCTTCTCAGGTCTGCCTGCTTATTCATACCTTGCCCTCTGTGCTTAACTTTGTCATGCTCCTTGCTGCTCGCCTCAGCATTGATCTGAATTCTCCCCATGTCTTTTGCTTTGTTCTAATACCTGTTAATCTCTCCTCAGCCTGCACAATCTCCTATGCTATGTTCTTCCCTCTGGCATTTCAGTTGACTTCCACCTCCTCTATTTTTGAGCCCACAGACTGGTTTTCCTTTCTCTTTTCCCATCCTATACCTAGTGCTGGCATCTATATACTCCTGCCACTGGATCCCCACCTTGGTCCTTGGCACCAATTTGTGCTCTTTTAGCCTTGGTGTATAGTCAGAAGTGTCAGGAACCGAAATCTCAGGCCAAACAGGCCTTAATGTACACTTGCAGAGCAGTCTCTCACAAAATGAAAGCAAAGCTGTGGTGAAGGGTGGCTGTTATTGCATATATAAAACATTTCTTCATGATGCAGCAGCTCTCCCATCCTCCCACTCCTTTGTTGTCTTTTCTCAGTCTGCTACACAAGCCTCCTTACTTCAGAGCCATCTTAGAAATGACCTTCACATTTTCCCAAGCCCCAAGGAAGGGAAAAAGAGCTGGGTGGGGCAGAAGACTGGGCAGACTGATGACCAGTAATTTCCTCCTGATTTGGGATATTTTCAGCTGTAGTTTCTCCCTAAGCGGGCAGGATCCCAAGTTCAGGTCGAGTTGGCGAAATTAGAAGGAGCACAAGTGGAATACAACCTATAAAGACCTCCTAGAAATAGCTAAGGGCCTGTGGAGTAAGTGTAGTGTCCAGAGATACCCCATGCAGTGCATACCTGTCTGGGGCTGACCAGTGGGGCAGCGTTGATTCAGAGCAGGTGTCCTCCCTGGGTAAAAGCCAAGAACAACTACCTCCCTCGCCAACCTGTGACTGGGTGTCATCACAGCAATACGAGACAAATACATGTTGTTCTTTCTTCATGAAAAAAAGCACAGAGTACTGAAGCAGCTGTATTCAAGTCAAGATTTTTCCTTTAAAAGTCTTTACATTCAGGTTGTAGTGATTTCAATGGGTCAGGAAAGCCAAATGTTTGGTTCCTCTGTGTATGTGTGCACACATGCTTGGTCCATCTCACAGAAGTTTAGTAACATCCTTCATTCAGGTTGAGGTAAGGGATTAAAAAAACCAAAACAACCACCAAAACAAGCGAAAAAGCCCACAAAACCCCGAAACAGGAAACTCAGGGAGAACTTAAGATAAGCATATAGTTCTTGGAAAATCAGTAGCAGTCAGACCACCCCACTAACTAACAAGGAGAGGAAGCAAGTAGGCTGAGCTAGCAGAGTTGATACTGAATATGTTTATACTAGTCAACTGTACCACTACATTCCTTGTGATCCTAATAGAAACCTGCTGGCTTCAGCAGGAGTCAGTTCAGAGCTGCTGAATACATAACAATAATGTAACAATAAAGGACAAGGCTCATCAAAACTTGAGAAATAAGCACTGCTACAAAGGTGTGTGTGTGGGAGGTTATCTGTCTAGGATCTGTGTGTACCAGCCTAGTCACAGCACAATGCAACTGAATGCACATTCACGACAAATTCCTATTAGTTTTGCAACAGACCCAGTGTGTTTTTGTGAGTGGCAGGCAATGATACATAGGTCTGTCTGTAGGAAGTTGTTTCAGGTTATCCAGGCAGAGCAATCAGAGACTAGGCAATTGGGAACTCACATTTTACCTGAGAAAAGTTGAGGAATTAGCCATGAAAAGCAAACAGTTAGTATTTGCCTTTGCTGCATCTTCAACTTAGTTAAATTTTACTCGGATCTCTCATATGCCCACATAAATTCAGCTTGGGATAACACTGAAGGCAGATCTGGCATTTTTCATGGATAAAGAGAAAGACTGGATTCTGAAAGGTGTTGTTATTTTGGTATACATCACAACATGGACACGGGGATTCAAATTTCAACATCTTCTTTGTTGTTTACCATCCTGCCTTTTTGCAGCTGACTTTTTCCATGTTTCAGCCACTTGTACTCAGACCAGGCCAAGTCTCTAAACTTTCAGGTAAACGCAAACTCAGTGTTAGGCACAAACAACTTAGAGTATTTAAGATGGTTGCAGTCAATTCTTTGATAGCCCTCCTTTCAGGTTTTTTGCCAACTTTTCACACAGCTCCACAAACCAGAAAACTCTTTGCTTAGTTAGTGTTGCCCTGTCCTTCAATACAGCAGATCTTGCTCCAGCCTGAAAGCATAGAGCTAGAGCTAACCAAATCAAAAAAGAGTCTCTCAGCTCCCCACACTCTTGATCTGTGCTGCATGTCTGGGGACACTGATCCATCAATACAGTGAACTCAGAAGATACAGGATGCTGAGGCATTTCAACTGGACATGAGCAGAGGCAGGGAAGAGAGCAGATGCATGGGGGGCTCATTGACAGTTCATAAAATCAACTGCAGAGCTACATAGGAGTCATTTGCTGGAGTGGCTGAGAGTTGGCAGAGGAAAATATGTGTCTAGAGCATAGGAAGATTCCAGCTAGGAAGAAACTGCAGAGTGTCTTTGATTTCCAGGAAAAAAGAGGTGGTGATTTTACATTGCAAACATAGAAACAAGAGCTGAGGAACTAAACATGAGGATTGGGCTGTCCCATACAGGCTGCAGGATTTGCAAACAAAACCAGTCTACAACAGAAAGTCATAGATAGTCTGTCATTCTCCTCATCTTAGCATCCCCAGTATCTGTGAACAACAGAGAGGGGCAGCCCAGCTGCAACAGCCTGAATACCTTTTGGAGGAATTTTCCTCTTGACATTCAGAGAGAGTGGTAGAAGAAGCAGACACTACACCAGACAGAAACACTTCTGATCCAGAGGGTCCATTCAGAGCAGTTCAGTGTCATTTATTCGAGCAAGCTGAGCAGGAAGAGGTTTGCATCAGTCAGCTATTCCCATGCTACAGTTACATCTTCAGCTGTATCTAGGCTTGCTCAATACACCATAAGGAAGGAATAGCATGTATTTTGCAGGATGCTCCAGAACTGGGTTCCATCTCTGCTATTATTGGTATGTTTTCAGTGACGGCTCCTTTTGTTGGCAAGGGCAGCTCTATAAAACTAGATTTTATTTCCACAATCTCCCTTTTCCCAGCCTGAGCTCTGGTAAGAGCATAACTGTTATCATGCAGAAACAGGCTTCTAATCCTCTCATGATAA